CTGTCGTTGAAGCTGGGAGATACGAGAATATGACTTTCATTGAAAAGGATTGCAATAATTATATCGAACAAATTTGGTGCCTAAGACATGGAGAAGGAGACGCCGCAACAATAAAATCATATTTTTCGAAAATGCAAGCACAGTGCTCAGATTTTTACTTCAGTATAGATTTGGATGAAGAGTTGCGACTAAAGAATGTTTTATGGGCAGATAATTGGAATAGACTAACATATGAAGGGTAGGAGATGTTGTCACATTTGACACCACATACCTCACTAATAAATATGACATGTCTTTTACCCTTTTTGTTGGTGTGAACCATCATGGACAATAAACCCTCCTTGGATGTGGTTTGTTATCAAATGAGGATAAAGATACATTTTTCTGGCTATTAAGGACATGGTTGGAATGCGTGCACGGCCAAGCTCCGAATGGGATAATTAAAAGTCAAGATAGAACTATGCAAAACGCAATTATGATAGTGTTCCCAAACACAAAAACATCGATGGTGTTTATAACATATTTTGAATAAGTTGCCAGAAAAGTTTGGATACCACCTGGATAAGGGTTCAATATTTGCTACTATACATGCGTTGGTATATGATTGTCAGTTTATTGAAGAATTTGACAGAGGCTGGATAGAGATTATCGAAAAGTATAATTTGTATGATAATGAATGATTGGATAGTTTATATGACAACATGGAACGTTGAGTTTCTTTTTTTTGAAAACCGCATTTTGGACAGGGATGTATTAATGCATTCTTCGATGGTTATGTACATTTGAAAACAACATTGAAGCAATTTGTTGAACAATACGAACGAGCTTTGAAAAGTAAAGTTGAGAAGGAGTTTCGAGCAGATTTCAAGTCTTACTCGCAAATGGTACCTTGTGCAACGCACTTGAAAAGGAAAAGCAATATCAGGCAGTATACACAATATCAAAATTCAAGGAAGTTCAAGAGGAGTTTGTGGGCAAGTTGTATTGCGATCTCATTTTTGCTTCGAAGGGATTCTTAGGAACAACGTATGAGGTATGTGAGGATGTCGTACATGAAGAGCATTCCAAAAAGAAAACCGTTTTCGTCTCGTTTCAAAGAGACAAATGTGAGTTTATTTGTAGTTGCCACTTATTTGAATTTTGAGGAATTATTTGTAGACACGCTATTTTAGTTTTAATTCGCAATGACCTCAAAAAGTGCCGGACAGATATATATACTCTGGCGCTGGCGATGAGATGTGAGTAGAGCACACATAAGAGTTGCAGTGAACTACGCTGAATTGGTTAGTACTCCAGGACAATTGATTGATGATAAAATGTGTCAGCGTTTTACTACGTTGACAAACATGACTGCAGATGATTCATTAAGGGCCAGTGCTATACTTGATTGGATTGACATGCAGTGTGAATAGACGATGGCGTCGAAGTCTAGTCATGGTAATAATGTTATCCCGTCGCACATTACGCAAATAGCCTCTAGGGCTGATGCATCACAGGGAACTGGAAGCGGTAGCGTACATGATCCAAAATGTGCGAAAAGAAAGGGTGCACCTAGAAAACTTCGTAAGAAGTATCCTTTGGAGTCAAGTTCAAAGAAAGTTAAGGTGATTCGCAAAATATCTATACTCACATTATGTGAAGTTACTATACACATGATATATAATTCCCAAATTTTTGTAGGCAACTTCAAGCTCGAAAAAAGTTACAAGACCGAAGGTCAAGCAAAGAAATATGGAAGATATTGGTTGAAGCACTCAGGCCCATCAACAAGCATAAGTAGCCATGCAAATACCGTTTTCATATACACAACTCCTACTGGTTAGTTATGTATAAAAATTTCATTCGTTCCATATATATACGATTTACTTCAAATTTTATTCATGTAGGGTGGCAATTGAAGTGTTGAATTCACGCAACATTTACATACCTCCAGTTAGATGCATCCATCTTCAAATAATCCGACATTAACTCCACAAGGTAAATTAGCGCAGATTATATAACATGTAATCTATGTTACTAGATGCTGGGTTATAAATTTGTGCCTATGAATTCTAGACTTATTATTTTCATCTCATACTATAGTGGATTGTCCACATGTTGGGGTATACAACCGGTGCATGATAATGTTGGTGGTAGAAGACCAACTTCGGATCTGAATGATGGAAGAGTTAGTAATGCGCCTGTAAATGTTGAACCTTCTTTAACATTTGCGGAGCAACTATAGTTTGCCTCATTTTGATATCTACTTGCCATAGTTATAGTTTTTGTAAAGGTTCCCATATTCTTTAACCGGAAGCACCATTCTTATTTTACCCTTTCTTTAAATTTTTGAGACTGTATTGGTGAATGTGGGAAAAGTGGTGTTAATGAACTTCTTACTTTGGGTGTATGTGGATTAAGTGGTGTTAATATACGTTATGAAATATTACTCACTTATTACTCTGTTGGTCAAATTGAGAAAATTTGAAAGTTTCATTTTTTTATTTTTGTAAATTCCAGAATGTGCCTTATGTTTTAGGGAAAAGGTTGATTTTGGAACTCAATTCATATGTAATCTGTCTCCTGAGAAGTTGGTAGCGACATACAGTTGGAGAAGCTTTACACAATGTCATTGCAAAGTAATTATTATGCCAATACAATTTCTTTCTCAATGTAAAAGTATTACAACTCATTATCACTGGAAGAATCTGAAACTAGTGCTTTAAATCAACTATAATGAACAGATGAGGCAGCAAGTTCAATTTCTACCTCTTCAAACATTTGTCAAAGCATTCTTAATGTCATAGGTTCATAAAGTTGTAGACTTACAGACCTAACTATGAATCCTTAAAGCATTCTTAAACATCCAATGCACACTACAGACATAACTATGAATCTACTGAGTTACATAGTCAAGAAATTACAATTATATTACGGAGAACAACTTAGGCGCCATTGTGTATTTTCACCTCTACCTTCACATATATCTCAACTTCTTTTTCATTAGTTAGGCGGCATTGTTTTTCGAATAGGTTAGATAAATCATCCGCTGCTGCGTTCGCCACATTATTACAACTTGATGCATTACTAGTTTCCGCCCCTCCAACCCACTCCCAATATCCACATTTGACGCTGCAAGTATTGAACAGTTGACCTCGATTTTTCGTTTTCTTCTACACCTCAAAACACTTCACGAAGGCATGCTTGCACCACGGACGGGGGCATTTGTTCAGGCATTCAACAAAAAAATGCCCTTCCAACCTACAGCTATGGCAAACTACTTAATTCTTTCCTCTCATGGTAAACTGGGATTCATCCACATAAATCAACACACAATGAAAAAACGGAGCAATAAGCTATATTATTAAAGAGGGAACCATACAATAAACCAATAAGCCATATTTTCATAGAAGCTCTCCCTTCCCTGAAAAGAAATATAAGATAAGGAATGGTATGCATTCTTATTTCTATTTATTAAACATACTTCAACATTTACCAAGTAAAAATAAAGAGTTACTTTACTTAATCTCAAGAATTTTCAAAAAATTTGCTAGTATCCAAGATGGGAAATGTTAAGTTAGCTTGCATCAAATTCTTATGGTTAAAGATTAATTTTGGCAAAAAGCATATTCAATATGAAGCACTCCCAATTAATTTGTTGAGGAAACAATTTCTCAGGAACTACTTTCTCCTCTTACTCTGAATTGCCTAATTTTTTTTTTTTTTATCAAGCCTCTCATTCTGAAAGTTAATTTCATATTAACCTAATCAACAAAGAAGGAAAAAAATTAAAGCTTTTTAGGAGCTGGAGCATCATTTTGCAAAGTTGCTATTTTCGCAATAACCGGCTGGAAACGTGAAAACCCGTCCCTTTACAGGACTTCATATAAATTACTTATCTCGATTTCTATTTCCATGCTCATTGCAAATTATGACAATATGGGCTTTTAAAGGGATTCACATCAGAGATAAAATTATTTCAGGATAAAATTATATAAAAAATCCAATAGACTCGAAAAATTGTATATACACTTATACCTAGTTTTCATGTAGATCCTATGGGCGAAGATAGGTGGTTTCAACTTCGACACAATAGGCGGCAGGCGAACTTCTCAGAAAATTGTGTTCTACGTCTCGTTCAACGATAGCTCTAGTGCAGGTGGAGAAAGTGGGCAATTTGCACCAGATGGAGAAGATGGATAAAGCTTGGCTGTAGAGAGAAATTGAGGGTTCCCTGGAAAAGGGCGAAAATTTTGGGAAAGTTTAGGGTCAATTTCACGCCATACGGGTTTTGATGGTGGGTGAAACAAGTTTATATTATTGGGCCGATTTTCAAGATTTGGAACTTAATTTGAATTTCAAAACAGCCCGTCCACGTCATCCTGTCAACAAATGAGTCAACTGTTCTAGTGCCATAGCAGAATTGAAATTTTAATACACTTTTCTCTCTCTTCTTTTCAGTCACATGTTTTTCAATAAAATAATATTACACTTAAATAAATAAAAAAGTTATTTTTTTAACCACACATGCTCCAAAAAAATATTATTCCATAATACATTTTAACAAAACTTCTCATTATAATGGGTGTCAAACAAGGGGCCAAGGGCTAAGTATGGTGTAAGAAAATAGAAAATGGATTAATTGTTTCATGTACACCACAATCGAAAATAATTTAGAACCTATTCATTCTTAGTTCTAAGAACTAAAACTATTTAAATATAAGTAGACCACTTCATTTCGATTTCCAATCGGTTTTGTTAATTTATGTTATTTAGCACACATTTAAATTACACCCAACGAAAGAAAGGAAAAGAAAAAAGCTTAGAGACTGTTTGTGAGTGATTTTTCTCCAAAAAATTGATTTTTTATCGTTATTTCACTATTTCAGTCGTCATATTTGACCTTTTTTCTTACAGATGGACTCCATTTTTCTCTAAACGGTCAAAAAATCAATCGGCCCTTAATACCCAAAATTACAATTAATCTTCGCACGTGCAAAAAATGTACGTGTTACCCAAAAAACCCATTTCTCATGAATAACTCTCGCTCGAAAACAACCTAAAGAATCAATGTTGTGTGCATATCACTTTGATTTGTGAATTAAATTGGCTAAAGTTTCAATTCTGTTTTCGTTCCTTTTCCTGTTCATGCTATATAGTTTCATGAATTTAATCTGGCAAATTTAGGGGGAATTAACTTGAGGCTTCGCTTTTCATTGAAACAAGCTTTAGCAGGGGACCAAGAAGAGGAGTGTAGGCCTTGGCGCAAGAGATTTTCATTTTTCTCCTCCCATTCAATAAACATGGGTTTCAAATTTAGTTGGGTTTCCTTTTTCAAAATCATTCTTCTTTTACTTCTCATTGCGGGAATTGCAACCGCTTGCATCACTCTGCCCGTTGAAAAAGTAAGTTTTTTTTTTCTTTTTTGCTTAATTTGTTTGTTTTGCTATTTTGATTAATGATGCTTGTTTTGGTGCTTTATGAGCTGTTCTAAGGGATTTTTTTGTTCTGTGTCGTTTTTATTTTGCTCAATTTTGTTTGTTTTGGTGTTTCTTGGAATGATTTTTGTAATATCCTGATCTAAACTTAGCCGGTTAGGAATATTTGGGATGTTAATTATGATGTCTCCTAAATAATTGACTGTTTCAATATGATTTATTTTAGCTAACTTTAACATTGTGGATTCTATGTTGACCTTGGGCAGTTTAGAGTATTTAGTATCTGATTTCTGCATGGCAATTGGATGATGAATTCATTTGCAAATAATGGGCTTTCTTCTTCTAATCGCGTTTATTTGTTTCAGTTGGTTGAATATTTGTTGGTTGAGCACTTGTCTATGTTTCCTTTGTGAAAATAATGGCAAGTTTACCAGATTGGAGGAAATATTTTCTCTCCAGATGCGTAATGTGCAGATGAAATCTCTTCTTAATTGATCACACTATTTGAATATGGTGGGTTGATTCTTGGAGAAATACATGAAGCACTTAAAAGACATATAATTTCTCAAAACATATAAATATTTAAAATATTTATCTTAGAAGCAAGCCTTGCGCTAAAATAGGCTTTAAATGAATGAGTGATTTAGTTATCTTGTTGCTGAAAGAGTTGCTATGTGCAGATGCTGAAAGATTTCTTATCATGGATTGAGCATGATCTTGGTCCTTGGGGTCCTCTTGTGCTGTAAGTACAGTTTTTGTTTACCTACACTAATCAAGTCTTTAAATTGTGCCTAAAGTGCCTGAAAAGTGGATACGAATAAAACATTGATCATAGATGACAGATGAGAGGATGAATACAGCTCGTCATCTCTTTTGTTGCTAAAAGTGTTTTGAAGTAGAAAAGGAGACATAGAAAAATACCCGTTCATTATTCACCATTTCATATATATTGCAAATAAATTAAATTCTAGTTGTATATGGAGGGTCTACGTAAACGTATCGATTTTATTTTGTATTTCACATCATCTGTTGAAATTCCAATAAGAAAAAAGTATAATTTAACTGCTATACTTGAGATTGTTTCTATACTTTCGTTGTCATGTGAGTTAATGTTCACAAAAATATCTTTCGAATTAAAATCACCATAAGTGTGTTGTTCGTTAACAAGTAATAAAATAGATTTGAGTCCAAGTATCGTCCCACAGAGATTGATTTAGTTCGATTTTAATTGTCGAGATCTTAACCGAAATAAGAATAATAAGATGGATTTGTTATGATGATATTATAACTAAAATAAGATACTGATACAATTATGATTGAATTAACAAAACTAAATGCAAATTATACTAAATAAAAGTTATGTGTTTTAATGAAGGACAAACACACTAGGATCGCGAATACCCATATAATAATCATTTTTAACCATAGTTCTACACTTTCACAATATGATTGAATTTGATGAATTAATATTCTTATTTTATTCAACAATCTCTCGAGTAATGTCAAATTTATTCTCATGTATGACACAATTATATTTCTATGATGGATACGAACATACAAGAATGCATAAATTTTTATGAACACTTAAAGATTTACATAAGGCATAGCAGTATATCCCTATCCTTTATTAGATCTTATAACGATTTATACCATGTCGAGCTTATTTCCCTTATTTCGAATGCATAAAATAAGCCGCCAAATTCATGCAACTACCGTGCATAATAAATGTAAAGAAAAGATAATCATATAAATCATTCAATATCCAAAAATGTGTTTCCAATGTCAAATATGTAAAACTAAAAATTAAAAACTCATATTACATGGTTCATCGTTCTCCCAGCATAAAGAAATCTAACCTAGCATGTTAGGAAGAAGAAAATAAAATAAATATTGAAGAAATGACATCACCTAAATAAATCTTGAGTTGAATCTTTGAGTCTTGGAATTGATCTTCATGTTTCTTGCCTCGTTCTATACTTTCTAATGTGTTATAATGCATGCCCCCTTACTTCTGGAAGGTCCTAGGTCTTTGAAAGACCTCCTAAATCATAAGAGTTGGAGTCATTTAAGAAAACCATAATTTTGCCTCCAGAAATGTACTATGCTATAGCGTAGTTCAATGAATTTCAACCCTTGTACTCCTAGAATCATGCCATGCGATTGCATGGATAAACTAACTATCCTATAGCATAGTTCAAGTGAAATTTCATTATTTACGTTTTGGTCCCCAAACTCCGTTTTCTTGTTTCTTAACCTCTTTTCTCACTTCTTCTTCTTCCAATACTTCGTGTCTTCACTAAATTAGTCTTCAACTCTTTCACATTTTCGTTTCTTCTTCTTGGTCATCTTTCGACTATTTGCACTTTGGTTTTCTTCCATTTTAGTCAATTTTCGCTTGTTTCTCCTAAATTCCGTCATATTCATCAATGTTGTCCTACAAAACATAATTTATATAGAACTAAACCATATTCCAACAGATTTGCCAACAATTATCCATGTTTTGTGGCCTACGTCCGTGTGTAAAAAGCACTTATTAGTCAAAGGTTAAGATGATTTTGCATATGGATGAAAAATAGGGTTTTAGCTGCATCACTCTGTTTTAAAAGGCGCAAGTCAAGGTTCCGCTGGCTCAAATCTTCCTTCTTTATGTGAAAATAAAGTCCCGAGTTGCCCTTTTTCCTCCCTCATTCTCGTGACACAGATGTACTGTTTTAAAGTTGTGACCTAAGAAGTACATGTGTTCAGCTATCTAAGACCATGAATGCCATAGAACTTTGTTCACCTCAAAGTCTCGAGAATTTATTGTTATGAGTAATCTAGAACAAGGATAATTTGTGTTTCCTAGGTCATTAAAATCAAGTTACTCTACAGTTATAGTACACATCACTGATTAAATTAATTATGAAACGTATCACAAATTTCACAGTTAGGAATATCATCTTAACTCTCACATGCTTTATTAACCTTGCAGAGCTGTTGCGTACATTCCTCTAACAGTATTGGCAGTTCCAGCTTCAATACTTACGGTAAGAATTATCATTCCTCTTCATATGTCAATTCTGTTCTCATATATTTTTGTAAAACAGCATTTTCTTCACATTCAAGACTTCATTAATTGGCATTGACACGTGGCTTTCTTTATTTCATGTTTACCCCTGGATATTTTGGATGGCGAATGGGAAATGAAAAGGACTCAATTTTGTTCATTGATATCTCGACCTTTATTTTTCTAGCTGTTACTTAGTGTTTGATTCACATTGCAAACTACTTTGTGAACATCCTCCGATTTATTGTACTTGCTAGCATGATCTCTGCTTCTTGTTTTCTTCTTTCTATTTAATTTTACCCTGTCAAACATCTGTTAGATTGCCCAACTTCAGATTTCTTTTGAGGATTCATATAGGACTGGTATTTTCTGTCTTTGTTATCCTGTAAAACTGAAACCTTGTGGCACATGGTATATCTTTCAGCTTGGTGGTGGTTACCTCTTTGGCTTGCCGGTGGGTTTTTTTGCTGATTCGATTGGTGCTACTGTTGGTGCTGGGGCAGCATTTCTTCTTGGAAGAACAGTAAGTTTCTGCAATCTAATAGCAGCATCTATTATTTTGCTGATTAGGGCACACGGTTCAAATATGATTGTTTCTTTTCCTCAACTATTTTTCCTCTTTTCCAATATCTTTACATTTTAGGAACTTTTGAAAAGTGTGTTTTGTTGTAAATTTTCATTTATGTATTTTTTTTTCAAAAATTACCAGATTGGTAGGTCATTTGTTATTTCAAAGTTAAGAGACTATCCGCAGTTCCGAGCAGTTACAGTTGCAATTCAGAGATCAGGATTTAAGGTTTGTATATCTTTTGGACCTGGATTCAGTTTCTTATTTTTATGTATGGGATTAGTACTGACTGATTGCTTGTCTCATTTAATTGATTTTTAATTTTAATATATACATGCATATTGGTAATATGTACTTAATTAAATTTCTCGTTTCTTTTGACAGATAGTGTTGCTGCTCCGGCTTGTTCCTTTACTTCCATTTAACATGTTGAACTACCTCTTATCTGTGACTCCAGTCCCAATATGGCAATACATGCTAGCTACATGGTTGGGAATGATGGTATGTACATGTACTTTAGTACCTCTTTACCGCTAATATGTGAGAGAATCCATGGAAATTAAAATTGTTATCGCCACAAAAAAATTAAAAAATAAAAACCTTATTCCTTTTAAAATTTTCTTTGCTAAATTGATCTGTTGAGTGTACCTTATTGTTAGTTCCTCTACCATTCTTTGTGCAGCCAATTACTATTGCATTGGTATATGTTGGGACGACTTTGAAGGATCTTTCTGATGTAACGCATCAATTCTCCAAAACCCGTTGGGTAAGAGCCTTGTGATGTGTTTTTCTGTTCAATTTCAGTTTGATAGGCTTACTTCATCATTTGTGGTCTAAGCTATTTGAGAGATGAAATGCCTCCATCTCTGTTTTAACTCGCTCGTCTATTTGCCAAATTCCTATAGTTCTAATATTAGCTTCTTCTTTGATGCAGGCATTTATTGTGTTGGGCCTTGTGGTATCTGGTAAGTTTCAAGTGGATATTTAATGTCCATTTCAATTTCTGGTATTTGACACGAATCTCCTGACAAAAATAAGTAAATTAGTAATGATACCAGCTTTTTGCCTTGATCCTATGAAAAATTGTTGTGCAATCCAAAGTTCAGTGACGTAAACTTCCATAACATATTTCTTGTCCTTTGAATATCAAATGTTATGCCCCACTTCTATGCACATGTCCTACCTGCATTGCACACTTTTTTCACTCTGGCAAGATATGAGAGACTTGTCCAATATTCTAAAATGATCGTAATTTGGAAAGTATATCAAAATGTTAAATTGTGACTTCATTTTATGTTGTTAGGTGTAAAACAAAATATAAGAAAATATTAACAGTGCTGAATCCCATTTACCTAAAAATTTAGAGAGTGTATTTGGACACGTACCAATACCCCGTCCAAATTAAATAAGAGCATATCAAAGACCACTGGATCCTAATTTTTGATAAGTTATTGGGGGTGAAGTTTGTAGAGATCTTGAAGCTCATACTTTGGATAAGTTACTCTACTCCTGATTTTATACGGTATCTAAAAAGGTTGCCCAATATATTTGCTTTTGTCATTATGAAATATGAAGTAATTCCAATTTATAGTTTAATTTTCTAAAAATTAAAAAATATATATATAATAATCTACTTACTATTTCATAGTAGTTAGGCATTATGAGAAATGAGGAAAACACAAACTGAGAAAAGTTTCTTCTTTGAATTTTTCAGTTTCTGGAGACATTTTTTTCTTATTTCGATGTCTGATTCTGTAGTATTTGTACTGTGTTCTAATTTCGGCACCTTTTCATGCCGAAACTCACTTTTTAAACCGGCTGCTTGCAGTTGTATTGATGATTTGTGTTACTAGAGTTGCGAAAGTTGCTTTAGACAAAGCTTTGGCTGAAAATGCAGACTTAGACAGTGATATCGCATCGCCACAATTACCCATTGTGGCCGACCCTGATGTAAATCTCCACCAACCTCTTATAATAAAGATCGACCATCCTCAAGAAAGTCACGAAAAGTAGTTCACGTTCTCTGTAAATTCTTTACTCGTGCTGCTTTTTTAAAGGCTTCATCTCTCATATATAATTGTCATCTGTTTGGTGATGCTTGATATTCATTTGTATAGTCAGATAAAATCACAATAGCTAGTCTGGAGAGGATAGCTTATTTTTGGTAACTGATTATTTTCCATTTGTACTTTTTGGATGGTTGTCAATTTGACAATAACAAATGAATACTTTTAACTGTAAAATTGATCTCAAGTTGCTCCCTCCATGACACTATGATCTATGGCTTTATTTTATGCATAAAATCATGTGGTTTCCTACTTGAAAGGAGGATGGTCGATTTAGGGAAATGTTTTCTTTTCCCAGTGGCCATTTTTTCTTTTCATTTTGGCCGTTTCTTGTAGGTTTTATATGGAATGGTGTCTAGTTGTCTGTGTATTGTTGGAGTGGATCTTTCAGTAGATATGGCTATGAACAATGAGCAGAGCAATTGGAGTTTGCCTTTGCTTCATTCTACCCCATTTTTTGTTTGTGCATATTTGATATGCATGACCGATTCAACGATGGTTGATAGCCATTGTGAAAAGACTTCCACGACTTTTTTTAGCCTCCACGGAAATAGGATTTCCAAGTAGTATCATATTTCAGCTTGGGGAGGTCCTAAAGTAGGTTTTAAAAAGCAAGAAAAGGGGATTTAGGGCTGCATTACTGGATGAACATTCTAGCTGCTACCAGCCAAGTAGGAGGCTGTGAAAAAATATTTGCCATAGAAGTTAGCATTAAGTGATACAAACTTATCTAAAGTGTAAAGTATTAATGGGGCTTGAAAGTAGGTCGCTGTCTGAACACAAGAAAATGATGAACATTCTAGCTGATACCAGCCTAGGAATGGCAATCGTGCTTGGGCCGCTCGTAGCTCGGCTCGGAAAAAGCTCGAGCTGGCTCGGCTCGAGGGTCGGAGGCACTGAGCCAAAACTCTGGCCGAACCTCGTTTTTTAGAGTTGGCTAGAGCTGGCCCGGCCTGGCCCGTAAAAATAAAAAAAAATAAAAAAAAGAGAGAGAGGAAAAATCTGCTGCCAACAGGCAGCAAGAGGTATATAGAATAAATAAATAAAAATTCTAGAAATCGAGCTCGGCCCGGCTTGGTAAAGCCCGAGCCGAAAGCTCGGGTCGAGCCTTAATTTTCCGACCGAGCTTTTGCTTGGCCCGGCTCGGGCCAAAAAAGCCCGCTTTAGAAAAGCTAGAGCCGAGCCCGAGCCAAAAATTTTGTCTTGCAAGCCTGCTCGGCTCGTTGACATTCCTAACCAGCCAAATGGGAGGCTGTGAAAGAATATTTGCCATAGAAGTTAGCATTAAGTGATACAAACTTATCTAAAGTGTAAAGTATTAATGGGGCTTGAAAGCAGGTTGCTCTCTGAACACAAGATACAAATATGTGCAGAAAACATTCAGAAATTTTGTGTGTTCCACTCTTGGGTTTGGAGCTCGTCCCTTGATGACATGGCCTGCCCTATGCTCTATGAGCCTTTTTGATGAAACTTTTCGAGTCGATGTCTCTACGAGCATAGAGAATCGAATCCCGACTGCTTTCAAAAGTTGCCATGCTAAAATTGTGATGTACTATTAGATATGTGAAGAAAAATGTCACTCTCAATGAAGCTAGCTTTTT